CTGAGTGATAGACTGAGACTTTGTCTCAAAAAAAAAGAGAAAACAACTAAGACTTTCAGCTAAGCATGAGGATGGAGGAGGAGGTGTTGGGGGTTCGAGGAGGGACCTTAGCTGAGCACCTGTTTCCCAATCATAACAACTCCAGTTTGTATTTGAGGACCCCCAATGATGCTCAGAGAGGTTAAGTGATTTGACCAGGGTTACACAGCTTGAGGGAATGGGGTAGCTCCAGGATTGAAGCAGGCCATCTCATGCTCTCAGCCAGGTATGATTTAGTAAATACAGAAGCAGAGTACCTTCATGGTGTCTGGGACATAGTGAGTGCTCAGTTGCAGGTTGTCAGTGCAAAGACTGAGTGGCAGGTGCGGTGTGTTCTGTCTAATACCACAGAGGCATAGCCACAGTGTTTGGAAGTCCTTGGTCCCGTCCACCAATGATGAAGGGCTGACTGTGGGCAGACTGGCTCCTGGGGAGGGGAGGTGGGCTCAGCAGGTGGCCCTGGTGTAGGGTAACCTTCAACCTAGCACACCTGGGACAGCCTTGGATGTTGGGGCCACTAACCTGGCACATAAGCCCCTTCTCTCTCCCAGTGCACCGGCTGCTGACCCATGTCCTGGGCCACACGGCCCTGCCGGGCCTGCTCCTGAGCCTGCTGCTCCTGCCCACTCTGGGCTGGCAGCAGGAGTGCCACCTGGGCACGTTGAGATTCCTGCATGCCTCAGCTCTGCTCGCCCTGGCTTCTGGGCTGCTGGCAGTACTGCTGGCAGGCCTTGGGGTGTCCGGTGCAGCCGGCAGCTGTGGATACATGCCTGTCCACCTGGCCATGCTGGCTGGGGAGGTACACCACCCTAAACGGCCCCGTGGGGCACTGCCACCATGGCTGCCACCATGGCTGCTGCTTGTCCTGACCCCACTGCTCAGCTCTGAGCCACCCTTCCTGCAGCTCCTTTGTGGCCTCCTTGCTGGCCTGGCCTGTATCCTTTGCCTGAGCCCAGGGCCCGTGGGGATGTGTGGGTTCTGTGGGTGGGTGCCTAGGAAGGAAGTGGCACAAAGGGGTGAAGTCCCAAGCAATACCAAGGAGCCGTGCACACACATTCCAGGAGCTTCTCCAAGTCTTCCTCTGGGACATGCTCTGGGCTGGGACCTGGGGGAGTCATGGCCTGGTGGAGGTACCAATTACAATGTAAAGGGCTCCGTGGGCTCCCTGTAATATCAATGCCATTCTTCGCAGAAATAGAAAAAATAATCCTAAAATTTATATGGAACCACAAAAGGCCCTGAATAGCCAAACCACTCTGAGCAAAAAAATAAAAGTTTAAAAAATTAAAAGCCTGGCCAGGTGCAGTGGCTCACGCCTGTAACCCCAGATCTTTGGGAGGCCAGGCGAGCAGATCACTTGAGGTCAGGAGTTTGAGACCAGCATGGTGAAGCCCCATCTCTACTAAAAATTAAAAACTTAGGCCAGGCACAGTGGCTTACGCCTGTAATCCCAACACTGGGAGACCAAGGTGGGCGGATCACAAGGTCAGGAGTTCGAGACTAGCCTGGCCAACGTGGTGAAACCCCATCTCTACTAAAAATACAAAAATTAGCTGGGCGTGGTGGCGTGCTCCTGTAATCCCAGCTACTTAGGAGACTGAGGCAGGAGAATTGCTTGAACCTGGGAGGCAGCAGCTGCAATGAGTCGAGATCATGCCACTGCACTCCAGCCTGGGCGACAGGGCGAGACCCCAGTCTCAAAGAAAACCCCAAAAAACAAAAATTAGCTGGGCGTGGTGGCAGGCGCCTGTAGTCCCAGTTACTTGGGAGACTGAGGCAGGAGAATTGCTTGAATCCAGGAGGCAGAGCCTGCAGTGAGCCAAGATGGTGCTGCTGCACTCCAGCCTGGGCGAGACAGCAAGACTCCCTCTCAAAAAAAACAAAAGCCTAAGTGAATGGAAAGATCTCATGTTCATGGATTGCAATACTTAATATTGTTAAAATGTTAATGCTACCCAGTTGATTTATAGATCCCACACAATTCTTATCAAAATCTCAGTTGTCTTTTTTTGTTGTTGCAGGAATTAGCAAGCTGGTCCTAAAATTAATATGGAAATGTAAGAACCCAGAATACCTCAGATAATCTTGAAAAAGAAAAGCAAACCTGGAAGACTTACACTTTTCAATTTCAAAACTTAAAACTACAAAAGTGGCCAGGCGCCGTGACTCACGCCTATAATCCCAGCACTTTGGGAGGCCAAGGCAGACAGATCACTTGAGGTCAGGAGTTCAAGACCAGCCTGGCCAACATGGTGAAACCTCATCTCTACTAAAAATACAAAAATTAGCAAGGCGTGGTGGTGCATGCCTGTAATCCCAGCTGTTCAGGAGGCTGAGGCAGGAGAATTACTGGAACCTGGGAGACAGAGGTTGCAGTGAGCTGAGATTGCACCACTGCACTCCAGCCTGGGCGACAGAGTAAGACTCTGTCTCCAAAAAGAAAAAAAAAGCCATACAGAATTATAATAATCAAGATATTGTGGTACTGGCATCAGGATAGACATACAGATCAATGGACTAGAATTGACGATCTAGAAATAAACTGTTACATTTACTGTATAGTCAATTTATTTTGACAACAGTGCCAAGTTGATTCAATGAGGAAAATAATATTCTTTTTAATAAATGGTGCTAGAGGTTGGGTGAGGTGGCTCACGCCTGTAATCCTAGCACTTTGGGAGGCTGAGGTGAGCTGATTTCTTGAAACCAGCAGTTCGAGACCAGCCTGGCCAACATGGTGAAACCCTGTCTCTACTAAGAATACAAAATAATTAGCCAGGTGTGATGGCACGTGCCTGTCGGGAAGCTGAGGCAGGAGAATTGCTTGAACCTCGGAGGTGGAGGTTGCAGTGAGCTGAGATTTCACCACTGCACGTCAGCCTGGGTGACAGAGCGAGACTGTCTCAAAAATAAATAGTGCCACAGTGATATTTATTGGGTGTTCTGCTTCTGAGAGAGAGAGAGATTTTTTTTTTTTTTTTTTAATTTTTTAGAGACAGGGTCTCATTTTGTCACCCAAGCTGGAGTGTGGCGATGCCGTCCTAGCTCACTACAGCCTCAAACTCCTGGGCTCGAGCGATCCTCTCGCCTCAGCCACCTCAGTAGCTGAGACCACGTCCAGCAAATTTTAAAACTTTTTTGTAGAGAAAGGGTCTATGTTGCCCAGGCTGGTCGTGAACTCCTGGCCTCAAGTGATCCTCCCGTCTCAGCCTCCCAAAGTGGTGGGATTATATAGCTGTAAGCCACTTCGTCCAGCCCTAAGATGATTCATACCTATCGGGGAAAACAGTGCCACTGGAGAGAACAGGCTGGCCCCTGTCCTCTGGATTGGGGGCAGGAGTTATCCAGGCCTGTCTGAAGGCAAGAGCAGGTGTGTCTATGGGACTTCTTCCAGGAAGGGTGGACCTTGAGTTACAGACCTGAAAAGGTGCATAGGGTTCTGGGAACAGAGTGGGTCGGGGTGAGCCCAGGCTTTGGGGTAAGGCATACCTGGCTCTGGCTGAGTAGTTTGAGGCAGATCCCTTTTCCTTTCTGAGCCTCTCCTGCTGACCAGGGTGACGCTATTCCATGCTGGGCCACAGTGAGGAGATGGGAGGGAATGGTGGCCAGCACACTTGGCATGGGGCCTGGCCTGTGGCGTGGGCCCACCCCTGGCTGCTTTTGGTTTTCCTTGACTGGCCGCCCTGCCCCGGGCAGACAGATGCAGCTGGGGCCTTCCGGTGGCTGGAACCCTCAGAGCGACGGCTGCAGGCGCTGCAGGAGGGCGTTTTGTGCGGGACCTTGGCGGGGTGCTGGCCCCTGAGGCTCCTTCCCACCCCGGGCAGCCTGGCAGAGCTGCCTGTCACCCATCCTGCCGGAGTGAGGTGAGGGTGATGGGGGGGATGCCAGCCCAGGTGGGCACTGTGGCAGGGCTGGCAGTCAGGCCCTCTTCTGTTCCCACTCCCCTAGGCCTCCCATCCCTGGACGGCCTTATGTAGCCTCCCCTGACCTCTGGTCCCACCGTGAAGGCTCAGCCCTGTCCCCACCAGGCCTGAGGCCTGTGCAGCCCACCTGGGAGGGGTCCTCAGAGGCCAGCCTGGACTGGGCTGGGGCCAGCTTCTCCCCAGGGACTCCGATGTGGGTGGCCTTGGATGAGCAGATGCTGCAGGAGGGCATCCAGGCCTCACTTCTTGACGGGCCAGCCCAGGGGCCCCAGAGCGCACCATGGCTGTCCAAGTCCTCTGTCTCCTCTCTGCGGTAAGGTGGAGTGGGCAGAGGGGGGGTCCCCTCGTGTAGGGGCCGGTGTGGCCCTGACACTCCCCACTTGTTCCCCCACCCCCCACAGGCTGCAGCAGCTGGAGCGCATGGGCTTCCCCACGGAGCAGGCGGTGGTGGCACTGGCAGCCACAGGCCGCGTGGAGGGTGCCGTGTCACTGCTGGTTGGAGGACAAGTGGGCACTGAGACCCTGGTGACCCAGGGAAAGGGTGGGCCTGCCCACTCCGAGGGTCCTGGGCCTCCCTAGCCCAGGCAGAGAGTGAGGCACAGGCAGGCCCTTGGGTACTAAGGGCTGGGCTGCATGTGGGTAGCCTGAGCTCCTGCTCTGTCTACTGAGGACCACAGTGGGGAGCAGGGGCACCTCTGGAGACAGGAGAGGCCAGCATGCTGCCCTAGTATGTGTTTAGAATAAAAACCAGTTTGTTTTTCAACCTGGACCTCCTTGGAGGCAGCAGTTGTGTTTGACTCTGTGTGTTGGCATCAGGGGGATGAATGAATGAGCGAGCACCAAATGAATGACCAGTTGTGGGAGAGCTGTTCCCTGATGTCCGGAGACACAGGCTTCCTGGCCCTGCACCATGTAGCCTGTACCTCCAGGAGGCTCTGTCCTCCAACACAGAGCATTCTTCACCACCCATTTCCAGCTCTCCTCCCATCGTATTCTCATTCCTAGCTGCCCCCATCTAACCACACACTGAGACCAGGCTGCGGGGAATCAGGTAGGGGCCTTTATTGGCCAGCACACATCTACCTCCTGGCATCTGTCACAAGCATTTGTGGGAGCAGGCAGCCCCTTCTCCATGTCCCCATCCCCAACCTGAGATGTGGGAGCGCCTGGGGGCTCAGAGGGGAGAAATGAGGCAAGAAGCCCCTGGTGATCCAGTCAGAGGATTGGGCAGCTTGACCTCGGGGTGGGGAACCCAGCACTGGACAACAAGGAGGGAGGGGCACAGGAGGGCTCCCCGAGGTTTGGTTGGGGAGGAGAGGGAGGAGGACTGCTCCCTGCCCTGTCATCCCTGCATGTGCTAAGCCCCAACTCCTGAGCCCTCCTGTGTCCCTCAGTGCCTTTGGGCCTGGATACTCAGACAGCAGATGAGACGAAGCCTTGTACCTCTACCCCTCCTTGAAGGCCTGCCTCCCCCCACTTCACAGAGGGAAACTGAGGCCCAAGCCTCTCCTCTCAGCCCCTGCTCAGCCTCAGACGTGTATGGTGCCAGGACTGAGACCTGCTTACCCCTAAGGCCTAGATGGCAGAAGGGACCCTGAGGATATTAATAAATATGGACGGGCGGTCCCTGGAGGCAGCTGGCCGAGTCCAGGTAGGAGGGGAAGCCTGGCCTTGTCTGCCCCAAGGGCCGCCACCGCCCTCAGCCTCTTTCATCCCGGCTCCTGGGGGCCACGATCCGGTAGTTGGCTGCATGTCCGCCCCTCTTGCCCCGAAGGAGGCTGGGGGTGCCTGTGCCGGCAGGGCCTCCCCCAGACCCCATCTCTGGTTCTGCCGGAGGGAAGGAGAAGGAGAGAGGCCACATCAGGGGGGTTCATGTGAGGTACCCACCTCCCCTTGGCCCTCTAGGGGGTGGCAGAACTGGGCACCCTCTGCCAGGTATAATCCACCCTGGTATCTGGCTGCAGAGCTGTGGGAAAGGGGGTCTACAGATTGGGGTCTGTCAGGACTTTCCAGCACCCCCAACCCAAGAAGAGCACTCAGCGCTTCTGTTTGATTCCTGCTTTGTCAAGTGGGGTTAACCACACCCGCCGCCTTTAGGAAGTGTTTAGCATGCCGTGAATGCTTCACGTAAAGGCTGCTTCTTTTTTCGATTCATTTTGGGGTGGAGGTGTGCCCTGAATCATCCCTATGTGGTAGCTGGGTAAACTGAGGCTAGGGAACAGACTTGGGCTAGGCCACCAGTTGGGGGGAAGGGCTTAGGAGGCCAGGCTCTGCCACTGACCTACTGTGCAGTCTTGGGTGAGCTGGACCTCTATCAGGGTCTCAGTCGTCTCATTGCTAAAACAGGGCAGTTCCGGACGGAACCGGAAAACTACTCATCTTTCAAAACCAAGGGTAGGAGCTATCTCCTCCAGGAAGCCTTCTGTGACTGTCATCTCAGCCCTTCCCGAAGTAAAATGAGCAGGCCAGGCAGGTCAGAATAGGCTGTTTTTCTAGGGGGAGATGGACACTCAGGGAGGAGAGGGCCATGGGGGACTCGGCTAAGCCTCCATAGGACAGATACTTGGGTTCTGGTGAACACCAGGTTCCCATTGAGGGCACTGCTAGGGAGTGGGCTATCCCCTCGTAATCATGACTGTGCCCTGACCCTGTGTGGCCCAGCCACCCGTACACCTCTGGGTTGAGATGAGGGCTCTTGGAGCAGACAGGGTCACTGAAAGGGACATTCCATGCCTTAACTCAAGGAGCATGGGAGGGGAGCGGCACAGAGCACTGGCCCCAGTGCCAGCTAGGATCGTGTACTGGTCCTGCTCTGCCAGTTATGTGGCCTTGGGCAAGTCGCAGAACCTCTGAGTGTCATCTGGAACGTGGGGATAAATAGTCCCGTTTTTACACCCTTGTGATACATGTGTTTACCATGACCAGGACTGGAAAGTGGTTTTCACAGGAAATGCTGGATTATTATGGTTACTAGGTTGGTGTCGCTTCCACCCAGGTCTCCTGCAGGTCTGGTCCCTGTGAGTTTGTCACAATCAAATTTGGGGCCCTGGATGAGTGGCAGAGTCAGCAAACTTTTGCTGGTGAAACCCAAAGGGCCAGCATGTTAGAGGAGAGACCTGGGGTGGACCCCTAGCCTGACCATTCCCATTCCTGTGACCCTGAAGCAGTCACAAGAGCCTCCGAGCCTCTGTTTCTTCATCTGTAAAATGGCCATGGCATCGCTCACCTAGCAGGCTTACTACTCTAAGAGACTGGAGATGATCGATCCAGCCCAGGTGGGCCAGACACGTGGCAGCTGATACTATTATAATTATTGATTATAACCTAAACAGGAACCCCATCTGGGTCTTCAGTAGCACCTGATGTGTATGTTGGGCCAATGGGGAGGGTCGCATCTCCCACTCCTCCGACCTATCCCTTCAAGCCCCGACCCAAGCTGGCTCGAGGGGCCACTGGCAGTGGGTGTGGGACTTTTGAGGTGCCTGGCACTTTTCTCCCTGGGCTGTCAGAGACAGAGCTGGCCGAAGGCAGGGACAGATCCAGAGCCATGGTGGCCCAAATGTGTCCCTTCTGGCTCCTGCCCCAATCCTCAGAGAGAAGGTGGGGACACCTAAAAAGGTTCTGAGAGCCTGAGATTTGGTCCTTGGCCCCTCTCTGTAAGAGGGGAGGAGGTCTGGGAGCTAGGCACTGAAGTTTCTAGAAGTTAGAGAAGCATGCGGCACTGTGGGAGGAGCTTTGGAAGCAGACCCCACACCCTTCCCAGCCTCTGGGCCTCTGCACAGGCAGGACTCTCTCAAGGCTGCCCTGCCCACTTCCCCACCTGGCACACTCATTGGGATCTTCCAGGACCCAACACAGAGTCCCCTCTTCCAAGAAGCCTTCTCTAACCCCTAGGGACAAGTGACTGTTCCTCACCCACACCCTTCCGTGCTCCCCTACCCCATATCTCTGTAGATACGATTCCCTGCCACTCATGGCCAGCTCCCCAAGGCCGGCACCTATCTATACTCCAGAGTGCCAGTGCCCAACCAGGCCTGGCTTTCAATGAGTGTTCTCTACAGTTTTGCTGGATGAAGGAGGCTGGGCTCTAACCTTAACTCTCCTTCCTGCTTGGGACCTAAGTTTCTCAGTCTTTTTGTTTTTGAGCAAGAAGGGTCAGCCTTTGGCAAAGAGGATATTGGGGAAACAATCTGAGGTTTTCTTTTCTTTTTTTTGAGACGGAGTCTCGCTCTGTCTCCCAGACTGGAATACAGTGGTGCGATCTTGGCTCACTGCAACCTCCGTCTCCCGGATTCAGGTGATTCTCCTGCCTCAGCCTCCCGAGTAGCTAGGATTACGGGCACCCACCACCATGCCTGACTAATTTTTAGTAGAGATAGGGTTTCACCATGTTGCCTAGGCTGGTCTCGAACTCCTGACCTCAGGTGATCCGTACGCCTCAGCCTCCCAAAGTGCTAGGATTACAGGCGTGAGCCACCGCGCCCAGTCTCTCAGTCTTTAAAATAGATGCGAGGTTGGACATGATGTGGAGGCCTCTGTGCACTGTTGTGAGATGGGCTGTGAGATGGTGTGGCAGGGCAGGTGAGGAACAGAGCTCAGACCGTCAGGCAGCCAATCCCTTCCTTTCTTCAGGGCCAGCCACAGGCTCCAGTTTCATGAGGAAAGACCTCAGCTTCATTCCCAGGAGCCAGACGCAAGGCGGGGTACCACCCACTGGTGTCTAACCAACTCCTGTGCTACCCCATCCTGCCTTCTAGGACCTTCTTGATCTAGGCCCTGCCAGATTCTGTCGCTTCTAGGCTCCTTCTGGTCTCTTGGCCTTCGCTCATGCTGTTTCTCTGCCTGTTCACTCTCCCCAGATCCTTGCCCTTCAGGTCTCCACTTAGATATCACCCTCCAGGAAGACCTCCCTCAACCCCCTCCAACCTCCTCTGGGCCAGGTCAGAGGCACTTCTGTATTCCCATGGCTGCCTGTACTCCCTTCCCTGCAGTGTACCTCACCTTGGGTTTCTCTACCAGTGTCAGGGTTCTCCTGAGCGCCCCCAGCACCCTACACTCCTCGAGGGCAGGACTATGTCTGTCTTATCTTGTGGAGCCTGTCCCAATAAGGTGCCTGGCACAGAGCAGGTATTCATTCACTCGAGTGACCAGAGCCTTCTCTCTGCCAGGCACCATCTGCTGGCTGGCTGGCTGGATGAAGAATGAGTGTCCGCTGGCCTGGGCCGAGCATTGGAAGGCACCTTCTGCATGCCCAGGCCCTTCCTGGAAGAGGCTGCCCCTGCCTGCCCGCCCTGCCATTACCTGGCCAGATGATGGCTTCCAGCAGGGTGACCCGTCTGGCCAGGAGCTCCAGCTGAGCCTGCTGCTGCAGGAAGCTCTGTAAGCTAGGAGCCTGATGGGAGATGGAGAAGAGCAGACGGTGCGAGTCTGGCCTCTGAGGGCTGGGCTGGGAAGCCAAGCCGGGAGGGTGGGAGGGCACTGCCAGCTGCCATCAGGGCAGGAGCCTGGGAGTGAGTCTCAGTACTGAGACTTCAGTCTCCCCTCCTATGGTGGGGACAGGGCTGGCCTGGATCCTCAAGTAACCACATGGGTGGGGAGTTTCTGGGTGAATGCTTGGGGTGAAAGCCTGGCTCTCTTAGTCCCCTTAAGGGACCAATAGAACACGTTAGGAGGACCAAGGGGAAAACTGCAAAGGGGACACCTGAGGCCAGGAGGGTCTGCCTTGTGAGAGCCTCTGGGGGATTATGGGATAGGAAGGTCAGAACTGGTAGGTAGTGCATTACCCAGAGTCCCCTGGGGCCTGAGCCTGGCTCTGTCACCCACAGTCCCCTGCCCTTCTGGAGTCTTGCTCCACGACCTATTGTCCTGCGGGCCTGACTCTGTTACCCATGATTTCTCTAGAGCTGAAGGCTGACTAGAGTCTGGATCCATTACCTGTAATCCTCCTGTTGCCCTGAGCTGTGATTTGGTTACCCATGATCCCTTGCACTGCAGGAGTCTGGCTCTGTTACCCACAATCCCACTGCTAGACTGGAGTTTGGTTCCATTGCCCACAATTTCTTCCAAACTTGAAATCTGTTATCTCTGGTTCCCTGCAGTCCTAGAAACCACATTACCCATAATGCCTAGAGGCCCAGGTCTGACCACAGCAGTAGGGCCTTGGTTTCTAGGGTACCCCTGCACCCATGGAGGAGGGAACCAGTCATTGAGGGATGGGTGGTTGTGGTCTCTCAGGTCCATGCTTGCCTGGGACAGGCACCTTCTCCAGTCTCATGACTGGGCTCAGGCCAGTTCCACCCCAGAAGGGCTTGGGGAAGGCTGGCAGGCAGGGGCTGGACCGTCTGTCCATCTGTCTGTCTCTACTCACCATAGAGCCCAATCATTGTTTCCAAGATTAAAACCCTCTCAGCTAAAATCTTCAAAGCCTCGCGTAGTTGGTGCAACCCCTCCCCCTGTGGAGGAAAGAGACAGATGCAGCCGTGAAGGGGGCAGGGGAGGGGACCCTGCAAAGCCCGTCAGTGGCCCATGCCCCACCCAGGACATGCACCTGCAGCCCCCACACTACCTGCCACAGCCCAGGGTCCATGGACAGCCAGAACAAGACCGGTTGAGGACAGGAAGGGGGACAACAAGGCAGGCGGAAGGAAGCAACCCCTGCGGGACCTCCCAGAAGGTCCCGTTGGATCCCAGCTGGCTGCTCTCCTACACTGCCGCAAATCCTGCTGCGCTGAAGGTGAGGCGAGCCAATCTTCAGGGGCAGAACGGCCACCCCAGAGGCTGCTGGGAGTCCTCCTGTCTTCTAATGTCTGTCACTCAGCACCAGTTGCTCTCCCAACACCTGCATGACTATATTCCTTGGTCACCTATATGTTTATTTACTTCACATTCTTTTTGCTGTAAATCACTACATTAGCCTCACCCTAATTACTCTGATCAGTGAGCTCAGGCTAGTTACCAGTATTTTCACTTATGCCCAAATGAATATATGGATGTTCCTTGACTTGCAATGGCGTTTCATCCAGATAAACCCAGTGTAAGTTGAAAATATCGCAAGTCAAAACCGCATCTTTGAGACGGAGTTTCGCTCTTGTTGCCCAGGCTGGAGAGAAATGGCATGATCTCGGCTCACCACAACCTCCACCTCCCAGGTTCAAGCGATTCTCCTGCCTCAGCCTCCAGAGTAGCTCATGCCCTACCACGCCCGGCTAAATTTGTATTTTCAGTAGAGACAGGGTTTCTCCATGTCGGTCAGGCTGGTCTGGAACTCGGCCTCAGGTGATCCGCCCGCCATGGCCTCCCAAAGTGCTGGGATTACAGGCATGAGCCACTGTGCCCAGCCAATAAGATTTTTTTTTTAAGAGACAAGGGTCTTGCTACGTTGCCCAGGCTGGTCTCGATTTCCTGGCCTCAAGTGATCCTTCTATCTCAGCTTCCCAAAGTGTTGGGATTACAGGCGTAAGCCACCATCCCTGGCCAAAAAAGTGCATTTTGACATACAATATTTTCAACTTACGATGGGCTTATTTGGAAGTAATGAGGAATATACTGAAAGCCTATATTGCTTTTGCACAACTGTAAAGTTGAAAAATTGTAATTTGAACCATCATAAGTTGGGGACCATCAGTGTGTCAATAAAATTAGACAACGTTTGAGTTACATTGCTTTTGGAGAACTTGCGCTTAAATGCTGACAAACCTGAGGCTCAGGCCTCTGCCTCTTCCCCAGCAATTCACGCTTTGAACTCCCTGCCTGGAAAACAGTGCTCACCTCTCCCAGGGCTTAGACTATGCCAGGTCCACATTCTGGCACATCCTGATGCGTCGCCCTCAGCCCAGCCCTCTCCTCTTAGCAGTACAGGTCTGCTTCTCCCTGTCTCTGGCTCCCAGAACCCTGGCACTGGGCTCACAAAGCCCCTCCTCCAAGGCCACCAGCTCTGGGGCTCCCCACTCCCCAAGTGGTGCCAGCTGCTACCCAGGGCTCATGCCAGAGACCTCATCTCTTCCTCCCCATCTGCATCCTTTCCTTCCCCAGCATACGGTCCACAGTCTTGACAACACTCCATACTCCCTCATTCCTTCCTCTTTCCTAGTCCAGAAACAAAGCTATTTCCAGAATGTAGATCTCTCAGTTCCAGCAGCATGCCAGGATGACTAATAGAACTATCCCAGCCCTGATGACATCTGGAAATCTCTCTTGGTGTCCTTTACTCAGTACAGATAAGTGAAGGGATGGACAATATGTATAATTGTATAATTACAAGCCAACCCTTTAAGGTTGTTGCTTCTCACAAAACCATCTAAACAACTGAGAAGTCTCTCAATATGTCCATCATGAGCCTGCTCGCTGGGGCCGACCCTTGTGATCCAGCTGTCCTGTCCACATCACATGGATTGGGCGACCCTCAGGCTGCTGAATGGCCATTTCAGCCTGGGGGTCCCAGGGTCACCACGGGCTGCATGCCAAAGTAATCCCCCTTTGAGTATTGCAGGGGCAGGATCTAAAAATGAATGACCTTCACTGGGCACAGTGGCTTACACGTGTAATTTCAGTGCTTTGGGAGACCAAAGTGGCAGGATCACTCAAGGCTAAGAGTTTGAGACCAGTCTGGGGAACACAGCAAGACCCCATATCTACAAAAAATTAAAAAATTTGGGTGGGCACGGTGGCTGTCATGTAATCCCAGCACCAAGTGACACTTTGGGAGGCCAAGGTGGGTGTATCACTTGAGGTCAGGAGTTCTAGTGCAGCCTGGCCAACATGGTGAAACCCCATCTCCACTAAAAATACAAAAATTAGCTGAGCATGGTGGCGTGCACCTATAGTCCCAGCTACTTGGGAGGCTGAGGCAGGAGAATCACTTGAACCC